AGATCAGGAGGAAGCTCATGACTCGAAGATGGAAACTCCACCCCCGGAGATTACTCTTCCCATGAAAGATCAGGAGGAAGCTCATGACTCAAAGATGGAAATACAAACTCAGGAAACTACTATTCCCATGACAGATCAGGAGGACGCACGTTACTCAAAGATAGAAGTACCAACTCCGGAGATTACTCTTCCCATGACAGATCAGGAGGAAGCTCATGACTCAAAGATGGAAATACCTACTCCGGAGATTATTCTTCCCATGACACATCAGGAGGAAGCTCATGACAATGAGAATTGTGAGAAGCCACCAACACCAATCTGTGATGCAGATAATAGCCCTGGAAAACAAACCACAGACCCGGTTTCTCCATTGCTTGTTGAGCGAGACTGTACCTTGCAGCTTGATTCTGATGAACAAACAGTTGCTCCCATCAATGATGATGATGAGAAAAGCCGCAATGATGATGAAGGCCGCAAGGATGATGTTGCCAATGAACGCGATATAGAACAAGGATAAATGGCTTGTCACGTGCAACTTTTAGTTCTCTGCAACTTTCAGTTCCTAATAATGCAACTATGTGGCTGCTGAACTTTTTTGTTTAAAATAGTTTAGATTGGATGCTTTTTATGTCAAACTTCTGGGTCCATACAATTCCTTGTGGCACATCTATTTTTATGGCTGCAAAACTTTTATGGGGTTCATGCTGGATGGTGTTTAATAATTTTTTGGGTTTGGTATTTGGAGTGCTCTTATATTATGGAATGCTTCTATAGATTTTTCAAATGAATGGAGATGAAAGTGAATGCTGGGGTAACTTCAGCTTTAATTCTCTGATTGACCTCAACTCTTCGGCTTCTTCAATCCCAGCCTCTGTTTCCTTCTCCCTCTTTCCTTCCTCTGTTTCTTCTTCTTCTTTCTCTGTTTCCCTTCACGCTTTCACTCGATCTCAGCCCCTCTCGTTCACTCTTTTGTTTACCCTTTCTCTCTCTCTCTCTCTCTTTTTTTTTTTTTTTTTTTGGTTTTCCACGGACTTCTCCCCTTTCTCACTCTCACAAAATCCTCCCTCTTCCTCTCTCCTCTCTCCTGCTTTTTTCCCCTCTTTTCTTTCTTGTTTGTATTATGCCTTTTCATGCCTCCTTGTTTTCCTCACTTCTTTTCTGTGTTTTTTCCTCTTCCCCCGGCGAAGCCGAATCTAGCTTCCTTCCTATAGTCGAGGGCATCGGTTTCTTCAGCACATTACCGTCAAAAGGGTCACCTCCTCTTGCCAAAATCATCATTACGCTGCGGGGCTGCGGGCTCGAGCAGAGATTCCTTCTGCAATTAACAGTCTCGCGTGTCTCTCATTGCCTGCTCTGTTTTCAGTTTCATCACCTGCTTTCCTTTTTCTGCATCTCATATCTATTTTACGGATTTGCATGTAAAACTTCAACTGAACTTATTAGCATTCAATTCATAGTACAATACGTTAACGGCCTTAAAGTTTAGTTGTATTACCTGCCTATAACTTTCATCTCATTCATTTCTCTCTCTTGACAAAAACTTATTCTCCTATGGCAGAGAGAACACATAACTTTCCACACATCATATTTCATTCTAACATTATAATAGTTGATCTTTTTTCATATGTACTCTGACACCACTTATTCACTCAAATATTTTAAGCAATTCAAGAGGGGGATTAATCGAGCTTTTGAAATTTTAACAATTTTAAATTAATATGAGTACATAATTGAAATGCTTAAGTATTTAATGCTATTGTGAAAATAAATTTAAAGCACTATTATAAAGCTTTAGTGTAAATACCACTTCTATAACTCAGTTGTTAAATTAATGAGACATTTATTTAAATTTATTCATTAAATGTACTAATAAACTCATAGAAAATTTAGAAATTTAATCTCTCCCCTTTAAAATATGAATTATGAAGGATAAAGACTTAAATAATTAAATTTACAACATTTAGGGGTATTTTTCAAATTTAATTTGAACCCAAGGACCCCAGGTGAAGGAAATTACAACATTTGGGGGTCTAATTGTAATTTCATAAAGTCAGAACACGTCGGGCCGACATGTCCGGGTGACCTATCAGAATGCGCCTCGTGGAAGACACGCAGGCGTGCGTCGATGAGACAGATCGCACGAACGGCTGGGATGAAGCCTCGTTCACTGAAGATGTCGTTTGAACAGTCGGGATCCGCTCGCCAAAAAGCTTGAAACGCGCTTCTAATGATTGGGATCGTCTGTAACAGTGATCGGACGACTTAGATTTATGTGAGAAAAAGTACAGACATGAAGAATCGACGGCCCAGATCACATACAGGTTTGATCCAACATTTGGAATTTAATATGCATGCAATTTAATGATCTTGCCCCTAGGTTTGAATGGATGCAACGGTCCGAACATGCTACATGGAGGCGGACGATAAAGATTTGTTTTCCCAAATTTACTCTCATATGTAAGGAAATCTTCTTCCTTCGATGAGACAGAGGGCACCCGAGAGAGTGAAGAAAGCTCAGTCGAGGAAGAGGGAGTGTGTGGGCTGTTAGAAACCTTCGCACCAGAAAAAAATTAGAGGGAGTGAGCTGGTGACCACCATAGACACGGGGGGCACATTTGGAAAGCAAAGAAACCAGGGAAAACCCGAGGGACCTCACCGGGTCACCATGCGACCCGACCGCCTTAATTGGTAAGGTTTTCCTTCATTCTTCAAACGATGATTTCTAAGTTCTGTTAATCAATACTGGAAGAAATTAAGTGTGATTTGTAGGAGTTTGTAACTTGACCAAACGCAACAAAATGCAAGGAAACACCTTCCACTCGATCACCTTTGGTAAGTGTTCGAACCCGAAACTTCAAGAATAAATTTCATTCGTTTTCTTTTCCATTTAAGCTGGCTTATCTATCTAAGAAATAGTTCAAACATAGTAGATCACTTAGGTAGGTAGAATAATCCTAAATACAACCTGTGCATGCGAAGAAAATTGTACAAAGCTCTGGGTGTCATCACTGACCCGAGAAACACGTTTTATTTGGATTTTGGGATGATTTTTGGAGCTTAAATCGAAGTCTGTTTGTGTAGTATTCTGTAAGTATAAGTAGTAATTAACTCGAAGCCTTCATATCATGCTTTTTTAAAGCTTTCTAATCAGATTTTTATGAAATTGCACGGGTTTAAACTGGTAGAGAAAAACTGATTTGAAAAATCTGTTGCAGGCACTACCCAAGCTGTTAGAACCGCTGGGATAAGTTCGAAAAGAAATGTTTTGCATTTGCTGCGTTCTCTCAACACAGTATGGTTGAGGTTTGATTGTGAATGTTTGGCTTGTATTTCTCCTGAAAATGATATATGAGAAATTAAAAATAAGCGATTAAAGAGGAATGTGGTGGTAATTTAGAAATAATGGGAATTAGAAGGAAACAAAACTTAAGGGAAAAAAATGCAAATAAATAGGAAGATAATTAATAAAAGACATACTTTAAATAGAGAATTAATGAATAAAATATTAATAATAACATAAATAAACAAGAAGATTATTGTGAATGGTGAGTGAGTAAAATAATTGGTGGGCGAAAATAACGAAGAAAGATGAATGAAGGGATAATAAGTGAGGGCATGGTTTCAAATAAAATTAAATGCATAAATTTAACAAGATATTTAGGGAAAGCAACAAATAAAGAAATACAAAATTAATAGATTAGACAAAATAATGAATATTAAATCGGATGATTGCATTTAAAAGCAAGTAATAAATAAAAATTAATTAATCATACAAAATAATGAGATGATTGAATTGAATATAAAGAAGAAGATTTTGAGATAAGACAAGGAAATTAGTGAATAAACAAATAAGACTAAGAAATTGAGAAAGAAAATAAATCAGTAAATCCTAGTAACATGTATCAATTAGTTAATACACAATAAATAAAAGAAAAAAAAAATAAAAAAGAAACTTGGAGAATTAAAATATTTGAAAATTCATTTAACTTGTATGATTAAAATTCGGCAGGTGGTGAACCCTTCCCATAGTTGGATGAAAAACTCAGTCTAAATGTGAACAGAATGTGTGTATGTGATAGGGATCAAGTGGCGACGTAATATTGTGACCAATTCGATGCATGTGTGTTATGTGTTCTGCCTACGTGGTATAAAAAATTCAAATTTTTTAATGGTATCGCGCGATGAAATATTTATAAAATAAAAAAAAAATAGAATGAACACGACGAAATAAAAATATCAAAATATTTATACTTACGAAGTTATATAAGCTGTGTATAAGAAATGAGAATGTAAATTAGAAATGGTGATGTGAATTCGATGTATTTGCAAAAGTAAGTTAAAAAGTAAGCTTGGTAAGATGTAAGTAGGTGAGAAAAGAAGAATAGTATTTTAAAGTGAGAAGAAATAAGAAATAAAGAAAAATTTATGTGTTAATAAAATGCTAATTCAATTAGTAGGATTAAGAAATTAGAATAATGAAAAAAAAGAAACATAAAATGTTTTCAAGAAAAGAAAAATTTATATCTATGAGTGAATGCATGTACGCATGCTTAAGGTGTAAGTTACT